GGGGGGGGGGGGTTCTGAAAAAAGTGTGCGGCCGAAGTGCGGCCCCCTCGGTGGCGGAGCTGGGAGTGGTCCGAAGGAGGAGGCCGCCTCGGCTGCGTCTCGGCCCGCCTCTCGGCTAGTCTACCGCGCCTTGGAGGTGGACAGCTTCACCGCATATCTCCCCACATCTCCCCACATCTCCCCACATCTCCCCACATCTCCCCACATCTCGCGCCTTGGTAGCGGACAGCTTCACCGCAGCCTTGGAGGAGCGGAGCCGCACGAAGACGCGCACGTAAAAGTTGATGTGGACGGAGAGGAGGGGGGTGATGTAGCGGCCGTGGCGCGCGGCGTGCGAGTCGATGCACGCGAGCAGGATGCGAAGCCCTTGCTCGTGGCAGTGCTTGCCTACTCCGTCAGCCTCGGCTCACCTCGGGCAGCCTCGCCCCGCATCTAGGACGTAGCCTCTCAGGCAAGAGTGCGCACCCTTCAGCGGCCACGCGCCGTACTTCGCGAAGCACGCCTGTGGAGGGGCAGGCCGCGGGCGCGTCGCGGACCAATGCCCGAGGCGTTGCCGACCGCCCCACCTCCGCGCCCGCCTCTGGGTACGCCCCCGCAAGGACTGCCATGTCGGTGCAGGTGACCATCAGCAAGCCTCCCTCGCTCACCGCCTGCACCGCCCCGTCGAGGAAGGGGGAGGCGGTGCCGTACGGGTCGAGGTCGACCACGTCGAAGCGCTCGCCTGCCGGAGGGCGCGACGCGTACAGTAGTGCCGCCGCGTCGCCCACCGTCGACGTCACCCTACAGCTCTGCTCCCCGCCGCCCTCGAGGAGGCCGTTGCGGCCAAAGTTGGAGGCCATCGTCTGGTGGGCGACGGGATCGACGTCGTTCGCAACCACCTCGCGCAGCCCGCTCACCTCCTTGGCGTACCTACGGAGAAGCCCGAAAAGGCTCAGGGAGGGGTCTCCACCGCCGCAGCTCGCTCCTCGGCGCACCGTATCGTCCGCAACCCGCTCGCCGACAGCGCATCCAGCACCCGCAGGCCGCGCCGCGCCGCGGGCTTTGAGGCGGACGCCGGGAGAGAAGTGGGCGCCTCAGCAGTTGCCGTCTCCGAGGCCTCGCCGGCGGCAGGCGCGGGCGGCTCCTGCGCGGCCGCCGCCTCGGGCGCGCCAGCGTCAGCCGGCGCCGGCGCGCTGCCCTGGCGTAGGGTGCGGTGTCGATCAGCGGCGGGCTTGGATGGCTGGCTGGCCCACATCTCGGAGAACTGCTGCAGCGCCAGCACCGAGAGGTCGCGGTTCGGGATCTGAGGCGGGTTGTAGAAGACACCCTTCTTGGACGCAAAGTAGAGTGTGGCCTGACCCTCCTTCACCTGCACCTCTTCGGCAGCGTCGGACATCAGCGTGCTGCTCCTTGCACGAACACGTCGCGCGAAGACGCGTAGCAGTCGAGGCCGCGTGGTTCGAGGCAGCCCTAGTACCTGGTACGCGCAAAAAGAATTTCGGGGGTGCAACACAACTTGAAATTACGGCGGATGTGTCCCTGATCGTCCTTACAAGATCCTGCTCGTGCAGGTGGGGACCCTGTCCTTCTCCCACCCCTCGTTTGGCGTGTACGTTGTATTTATTTATTTATTTATTACGGCGGATGTAAACCGCCAGTGGCAGTTATAAGTTGCGGCCGTCGCCGCGGCTCGTCTCTGCCGCGGCGGCTGCTGCGCGCTCGCAGCGGCGCCGCTCTCTCGAGCGACGGCTGGCGCCGCGGCTCGCCGCCGACGCGCACTGCGCTCGCACGACCATCCACGGCGTGGCGTGCGCGGTGCTGCGCGCCGCTCTGCGAGCGCTTCTGCGGGCGCCTCATGCTGCACTGCTGTACATCATCCTGCACTGCTGGATTGGACTGCGTTGGTCCTCGAGGAGACTGCGCGGTGCTCTACGCGGAGGTCTGCGAGCGTCGATCGCGCACGGCAGGCGGATTGCGGGCTGCGTGAGAGCGGCAGGCGCTCTTCTCTCTCTGGTGCTGCTGCTGCTGCTGCTGCTGCTGGTGGTGCTGATGGCGCTGATGCTGCTGCTGGTGCGGCGCGGCTCTGCGACTCGGATCACCGCGCGCGTCGCTGGAATCTGACGCGGTGGGCGGCGTCGAGAGCGGCAGCGGTGGCGGCTCGAGGGTGGAGGCGGTGGCTGGAGGCTGTGGTGGACTTTGAGTTTATTTAGGGGTCGAGTACGCGGGCCGCCGGCGAGCTGCTGCCGCGCATGCTGCGCTGTGGGCTTAGCCATCGTGTCCTGAGTACGTCGCCGACGCCACCTGCCGCTCGCCGCTGCCTTGGACTTCCCTGCCATCAGGCAAACACACAGACACACACACACAAACACACACACGTTATTAATCGGGTAATAATTATTAAATATTAATCCTCGGGCGGCGGAGCGGCGCGGCGGCGGGCAGCGCGAGGCGGCGGCGCGGCGAGGCAGCGGGCGGCGCAGGGCGGGGCGGCGCGGCGGCGGATGGGGTAATTAATTATTTGTTAATTCATTATTACTTAATAATCATCGGGCGGCGGCGCGGCGCGGCGGCGGGCGACGCTGAGCGGGGCGGCGCGACCATCTGCACTGACCTCGGTCTCTGGCCGCTGCGAGCAGGGCAATGGTCGCGCCGCCCTCGACTCAAGGGGCTGCCTTCCACACGCCGCTGCTCAGGCTGGGGGAGGGGGGGAGACCTCCTGTTCCTCGCGGAACGGGAGCAGGCCCCTCCTTGCCCGGTCTGCGAAGCAGGGCGGTGGTCGTGCCATCTTGGCTTCACAACGAGCACGCCGCAACCGTCGCCGGCGCGCGACACGTTCCCGTCAGCAGGACTGTCCTGGTCGAGAGTGTGTGCCGCCAAGGCGGGACCACTCGGGGACAGTGCCGACGGGACGCGGCTCGAAGGGCGTGGCTCCGCAGCGCGACTGGCACTCGTCGCAGAGGCCTCGCATTCGACAAGTCGGGAACGGCTCTACCCGCAACTTTCTCGCTAACACGCGCGCACCGCCGAGCCTGGGGCGGGCGCGCTGCGGTCGCACGTCTAACTTCGTCATAGTGCCACGACGTGCGGCCTAGATTTAGCCCACGCGCCTCTGCTCGCAAACACTCACCCATTTGATTGTCACTGTCCGTGAGTGCGAGATTAGGGCTAGCCGCAGGCAGCTAGCCCGTGAGGAGAGCGTCCATAGACACCTCACTTAGACCCCACACACGGTCTCGTCCGTGCCTCGCCGGCCGGAGAGATTGCTAGAGGTGGAGCATGCTGCTCTAGCCTCACATGTCACTTCCTGTCGTCTGTTGTTTGTTGTGCCCTTGTTTGTTTCTCTTGGCACCTTGGAGTGCTGGGGGGGGCGACAGGGAGGATGTGGCCTTGAGTTATGTGTACGCCAACTCAGGGTGTGTGGCAGCCAGCTGGCTGTGTGTCTTGTGAGCTTGTTTGTGTCTGTGTGTCGCTCGTGCGTGTCGTCATGTCATCTGTCTAGCGTCCACCCATACCGCGTTGGTGTCCAGTCCGAGCCTGGCTGTTCTTCACCTTTCTACCTACCTACCTACAACTCTGTGGAACTCTAACACTCACACATCATTTGGGGCCTGGAGCCCTGTTCACGCGCGCGCGAGACGTGCAGACAGGGTTGCCAGGTGAGAGCGAATGGCGCGGTTCACGCCTCGCACAACAGAGAGAGGGAGAGATGCGCTCTGCATCTCGCTGTCTCTCTCTCTCTCTCCCAAAAGGCAAGCCCCGTGCCCAGCTGCCCACCGAGGAATTCTTGCTAATCCACAAAAGGCAAGCGGGCGACGGCCCTTATTTTTGTTTTTAGGTTTGTTGTTGGCAAATCAAGGGCTCCGGCTGGTAGTCGACAAGCTGCCGAGCGCAAATCACTCTGTGTGACACATTTCTTGTTGGCTTCTAAAAATCTCTCTCTCAAATCAAGACACAGAGCTCACACAAAATCACAGTGGGTGGTAAGCGAACGAGTCACTTAACAGGGGTCGATTAGTGCGGGCCACCCTGTCCAGAGGCGGAGGTGCCTTTCTGGGATCTTGCGATCGAGTCTATGCAACCCTCGGCCACGCTCTCCTTTCGTGGCTGATAAGCATTCGCAGACCAGGCGATGGAGATGGCGGGGAGCACGGATGTGACTGCTCACCAAGGCCGAGGGGGGCACGACGCGCACCGACCCTTCACGAACCGAAAGGCCGTGCCCGGCGTGCAAGGGGCACGGTAATCCGGCACGTGTTGGGCGCCCCATTCCGTATGGCGGCTAGGTCGGCTCAGGGCCCCGTCCACTTCCCTCCCACTTGGCGCGTGAAGATGAAGAAGATGCCACCCAGGCCGGCCAGGGCAAGGGCGGAGGGCGAGAGCGGAGGGCGGAGGGCTGGGCGGAGGCAAGGGCGGGCGGAGGGCGAGAGATTTTTTTTTCGTTGGCCGAAGCCTCGTTGGCCGAAGCCTCGGTGGCCGAAGCCTCGGTGGTGGCCGAAGCCCTTATTGGGCCGTCGAAGATGCCACATACTCCTCCGGCCAGGCTCCTCGTCCTCGCGGGGGAATGCGCACCCCACGCAAAAAGAAAGGAAAGGAAACGTAAAGCTCCACCGCGTCAGTGCCTGAGGCGGCTCGGTCGCAGTCGCTCGTCCAAAAAGCAACAGTATGCAACGCCGCGCACTCGTCTTGCTTGGAGCGGCCGCGATGGCGCTGCTCCTCGTCAACTGGTTGTGCTGGCGCCCGATCCCATCCGACACAGAAACGTTGGCTCGGCGCATGGCCGAGCTCGAGCAGCAAAACCAGCAGCTAGCCTCGCTGGTTCACCGCCTAAAACAACAGAGGCAGCAACCGCCGCCGCCGCCGCCGCCGCCGTCGCCGCCGCAGTCACAGTCGCAGCCGCAGCCGCAGCAGCAGGAGCCCGCGCCAACTCATGTCTCCACGTCGAGCAGCGCCGTTATCCGCGAGACCACCGCCACCGTTGTGGCAATCCTGGGTATTACCACAGGGGCCTGGAAGCGCGCGGCGCGCGACCTGCTTCGAGAGACTTGGATGGCGTTCCCAAACGTGGTGCGCGGTCCGACACGCCCGGCAACCTCAGGCGGCGTTCGTGCCTTCTTCGTGATGGGGGAGATGGACGAGCTCGGAGCGCCACATGCCAGGGCGGTGCTGGAAGAGATCGAGGACGAGCAGCGCAGCCATGGCGACGTGGTCCTGTTCCCTAGGGTAAGAGAAACTCACCCGCCGGGAGAGAAGATGTTTGCCTTTTTCGAGATGTGCGCGGGCATGTCGGCTTTGTTTTGCATCAAATCCGACGACGACGCTTACGTGCACACAGTTCGATTGGAGACCAACTTGAGGGCGCTTCTACGTCAGCACGCGCACGAAATGATATACGCCGGCAATACGCTTTGGTCGGGGTATTTTCCAAATCGGCTATCAGTCTGCGCTTGGCCGGCGATGGGTCCGGCGAGCCTGTACAATGAAGATTGGAAGCGTGAAAATTGCAGCGCTCGCGGAGCTGTTGGGCCCTTCCCATTTGCGGTCGGCACCTTCGAAGTGTTGTCGATGCCGTTGACTCGATGGGTGACTACCCAGCCCGAGACGCAGCGCTTCGTCCAGCGCGCCCGCAGCTTCCTTCCCCCGGTGTGGATCATGGGAGAGGACACCGCGCTCGGGATGTGGGTTCACACGTCGCCGTTCCCGATCACCGCGCTGCATTGGGGATGGGGCAAGATTCACGACTTGTGCTCCGGCTGCGCCTTCACGCAGGCGCAGCGCAACTGGAACCCGCTGACGGCCACATCTGTCGTTGTGCACATCAAGTATCGCCTGAGGTGTGACGGGGACGAGCAAAGCGCCGCGTGCCAAGCGAAGCGCCGTGAAGGCTTTGCCAAGAGCATAACGCAGTTGCACGCTAACGTGAGCCGCGTGTGCGATGCCGGCTGTGAAGAGAAGGTCTTGCCTTTTGAGGTCCAGTCTCTCGAGGACCTGTGCGGCCGCAGCGCGAGGATCGGCAGCATCTACTCAAAATGCAAATCGATCGCCACGACCTCTAACAGCACGAAAGCGAGCCCGCCGCCGCCACCGGACGCACTGCTGGATGCCAATGCCAGCTCGACGCCGTCAGCCTTAATCTCTGCCGCCGATGGCCTCTTGGACCAGGTGCTACAAGCTTTGGAGCGCTCAGGCGTCCATGCTGTCGTGCGCGACACACCGGCCGTGCTGAGCCGCTGCGGGGAAATCTTACGGATCGCCTCGAACTTTGCGAGTGGCTACCAGTGGATTGCCGTGTGCGATCACATTTGCAAATCCGTCGTGTGTTGGGCGCAGCCTAGTGCGCACCCCGACTAAAGGCGATTTTTCAAATTACAATCACTTGCGGTCTGCGCGCGCTCTGTCTCTCTCTTGCCGAATACCTACGCGGGGCACGACGGAATGCGGCTTGCGGGAAAACAAAAAGTGGAGGTTCGGCGGACGCGGCTCATGATTGTGCCCACAGTGCACAGATGATGACAGTCATCGACACAGGCGGGAAGAGTTGTTCCCTGAGGAGCGACTTCTGGGAGTGCGGAGTGGGTGGGTGAGTCGAGACGTGTGAGAGGCGTCTCCAATGCAGCTCCAATGTCGACGCGCAAGAGCCTTCGATTCGTGAACTGTCACTGTACTGGCGTGCGATTTCGGGCCCAAGTTTTGACCGCGCAAGACAAAGGGTGGCTAAGGGCTCTGCCCGCAAGGAAGGCGCCCGCGTCGCCGACGCGGTACCATTGACTAATCCCGGAATACACACCCACACGACCAAATAGCGAAAATCCGAAGACCGTGCAAAAACCACGGAATCTGAGACGAAGAACGGTAACAAGTGTTTGGCTCTAACTCCATAACATGGGCGATCCGGCGCTTCCTTCGATTGGACGGACGAAATGATCGCGGAAAAGCGGGACCGCCATCGGGGGTTCAGCATATGCTACCAGGTCACAGTATGGGTTCATGAGTTGTACTGAGTGTGTGTGCTGTTGGGTCGTCTGTTCTCGTGTTCTGCCACTCACTGACACTGGACTTTGTGTTTTTGTCCTGGCGTGTTTCCTCTCCAACCACCCATGGACGTGCCTCGCCTGCTCCCCCCTTGGAGATCTTGGGGCGTGCCGGCGTGGGGTACCTTCGGCCTGTCAGACTTGCGGGCGCTACCGCGAGGGTGCGTCCCATTCAACACACTCTCGTTCCGTCCGCGCGCGCAACGTCGCGCCCCAGGTCGGGGCCGGCAACGTCGGGCGCCCCAGGCAGGGGCCGGTGCGAGCATGGAGTCCAGCGGCACGACCGCGACCATGCGGCCGGGCGCGCGTTTGCTCCTCTCCTGCCTTGCCGCCGGGGTGCTGCTCGTGCTCGGACAGCTCCTGCGGCCTGCGCCGGCAAAATTGTGGCTGCCTGATTTCCTCCTTCCAAGCATGTGGGGCTTTGTTGACGCCGCCGCCGAGGGCGGCAACGAGAAGGTCGGCAAGGTGGTGTACGGCCAGGATGGTGTGCCAGCTCTGCGCGTCGCCTATGACGGCCACGGCACCTGCACGCTCGCGGACGGCCGCTTCGAGCTCTACGATAGCAAGTGGGTCGACCCCGATGCGGACAGGGATCCCAACGCGCCGGCGGCGATGGGGAGGCGGATGCAGGTGCAGATGGGGGGCTCCGCCCCCGGAATGTACCCAGACGACCCCTACTCGTACTCGTGCTCGCCCGAGAGCTCCTACGTAGTCCAGGACACGCCTGTCAACGGCGCCTTCGGTGCGATCGCCGACATATGGTACTTGGTTCACAAGGTGGACGAGTACTACTCCACACAGGTTGGGGAGAGTGTGATGTGGTATGAGCCGACAAAGGTTTACGCCCACTACCGACTCGGCATGCACACTCAGATGAACGCTGATTGGCACACCCTCGGCTCCGATGGCCCCACCTTCTCCGTGGTCATCTCTGACTTCAAGACGAAGGACGGAAGCGACGACCCGGAGCACTACGGCGGCATCGCTCCCGATCTCCTCGCGCACGAGCTGACTCACGGCTACAATGCGTACCGAGTGTGGCGAGGGCCGTGGGGCGAGGTGATGAGCGACATCGGCGGCGAGGCTTTCGAGGCCTGGCTCAAGGGCAAGGCTGACTTTATCCGAGGGCCGGAGACCTGCCGCCTCGCCTCGTGCACCGTCGCTGAGGTGGAGGAGCCGGAGCTGGACATGAAAGGCCCCATCGTGGGAGACCTCGTGGCAACGGCGGAGAAGGAGGCGCACGCGGGGGCGCTCTTGCTGGGGCGCATTTTTTACCACTCGATCCAGCCGGTAGAGGGCTTGGTGCCGCCCGAGGGCTGGGTGACGTGCCCCACCAAGATGTACAAGGTGTGGATCGAGGCGTCCAAGGTGTGGATCGCGGGCAAGCCCGTCCTGAGCGAGTCTGGCGGGACGCTAACTAGCCCGCAGTGGGTGGAGCTATACAACCACAAGTACTTTGCGGAGATCCTCGTCGAGACGGCGAGGGCGATGCTCATCCCGCGGCAGGCGAGCTTCATCGAGGAGAGCCTGAGGGCGATCAATGCGTACAGCCAAAAGCTCGCCCCCTCAACGTCAACCTCGCTCATCCACGCGGGCTCGACGCCATCCACGATGCGATCGATCTCTTGGTGGCCACTCTGACGCACGGAAGGCGGCGGGGCGAAGGCGATGGCGTGCGCGAGACTTTGCGCGAGCGAGTACAGTTGTTTTTCGAGACTCTCTCAAGGACGGAATTTTGACGCTTTGCCATGAGGGGGGTTTCACGGCGTCGGCGGTCGTGGTTTTGCTTTTTTTGGTGTTCATTGTTCGGTCTTTTCGGAATTCGCCACATAAAACGCCCACACACTGCTCTGACCGAGTATATGACTCATATCTCGCAGTCTCCCCCGGCCGGCCTATCGTCGGCTATCTCTCTCAGTCATCCCTCGAGCGCCCCGCCGACCGCCTCCGTCACCGCCGCTACGAGGCGCGACGCCTCGCACGAGAGTGACCGCGCCCAGCGATCGGAGACGAGCCGATCGTCGCTCGGCCGCAGCTGACCTCGAAGGCGTGCGGAGCGCGACTGTTGGTGTCGGGGCGGCCGTCATGTGGCGAGGAGGGAGGACGACAAGTGCGCGTCGTACTGGTCGCTCTTCATCGGCCAGTCGAGCGGCACTCAAGTCGAGACCGAAGCAAAGCATGTCGGGTTTGAGCCATAAAAAGGGGCGTTGTCGAGGTTCTCGAGGTGGATATCCTTTGGCCGCGTTGGGTAGCGAGGATTGGTGTGACGCGATCCACGCAGGCGTGGACCGTGGTTTCTGACGGCCGACCGTCAGACAGTGCACGGAGTTGCCCCTTCTCCGACTGCCCCGCCCGGCTAGTTCCCGAGGTCGTCGGGTGTGACCCCTTCGTCCCCCGAGACCTAGCGCGGGTGGGTTGGAGGGGGCTCGCTGCAAGGAAGGGCGGTGTAAGTAGCCGATCCCCGTAGTCCGCCCACTCCTCCCCATCGGGCCGCATAAGCGGCCTCGCCTCAAAAAGGGGGGTAACTGGGCGGCCAAATTCACCTCGCGGGACTACTTATGTTTTCGTAAACGTAGTCGTGGCCCCCCGCTACGTCGCACGAGTGCCAATCAAGTCGCACCTCTCTTCTTCAGCGAATGCAGCGGCAGCACCACGTCAGAGGCCGGGCCGACTGGGGACCTGCATGCCCAGCCATGCCCCCCACTCCCCACCCGCTTGGATCGATCAGCTGACAGCTCCACCAGCTCCCACCACCGCGTGTCGTGTCATGAAGCATGATAGATAGACAGACAGAAAGCATTTGTCACCGGCGCAGCTGAGATCTCTGCGGGCAGGCGCGGATTCACGTTTTATTAATAAAAGAGTCATGTGTGTGTCCCTTGTTGTTTCCTTTTTATTTTACTCCTTTGTATCAGTCCTCCTTTTTTCTGAAGGTGTAGCAAAAAAAGAAAAAACAATCGACAATCAAGCACCGCACAACAATGCGTGCCGCTCTCCTGCTTCTCGCCACGCACACGGCCGCGGCCGCAACCCTCCAACCCACGGTCAAGCCAGCGCTCGCCCAGAACCACAAACTCCAGCTTGCGCCCGATCCCGTGGCCACAATCGTCACCCTTCGGGGCGGCGCTTCGCTCGGGCCTATCACTCCGACGGTGGGCGCGTGGCTCCAAGTCGTGCTCGAGGCCTACGTGCGTGCTCCCTCACACTTGCTCCCTCACGCGTGCTCCCTCACGCGTGCTCCCTCACGCGTGCTCCCTCACGCGTGCTCCCTAACGCGTGCGCCAGCAGCAGCAGCTGACCCCCGACGCCTGCCCCGCGCCTGCCCCAGTTCCTCGCGCTGATGTCTGGCAACCTCAAGTTTCTGCCCGCGCTGCCCTTCATGGGCGGCGACCCCTACGCCAAGTACGGCTGGACCGAGACCGCGTCCACCAAGCCGCTTCAGACCCAGTTTGCGGGCGCAATCGGCTACCTCCTCTCGATTACCTTTGCAGCGACATACTGGTGTGTCAGCCGCCGCCCTTGGCCCCGCCGCCCCCTCTCTCTCCTCCGTCCAAGCCCGCCCATGCGCGACGGCCAAGCTCGAGACGACACCCGCACTCTTGCCGCTTCAGAACATTCTCTTCCATCATGACACTGCAGGGGCGACGCCGCAGCGCACGTCAACGTGTGCCGCGGCTCCATGCTTGCGTGGTTGGTCGGCGGCCCGATTTCCTTTTTCTATCACGCCGAGGTTTATTCTTTTAGGCTCCATGCTCGCGTGGTTGGTCTGCGGCGGCGTCTTCTTCGGGCAGCTTGCTAAGGGCACCACCAAGTTCACCGAGGGCAACGTCATGTGCGCCCTGCGCACCCGCGCCCTTCTCCTCCTTTTCTGTGCTCCCTTCTGGAACCGTCGCTGACCGTCTCCCCCGCCCCTGGCACCTGCGCCGCAGGTGCGTCGTGCTGCCTCTCCTCTTCGGCTACCTCGGCTTCGCGTGAGGCGGCGCGAGAACAGTACGACGGTGGGAGCTGGAACTCTGGAAGGTTCTCTCAGCGTCGGACAAGGCGCGGGGAGCTAGCGGGACCACAGCTGGCGTGGGGCTGAGTAGGGTGGGATCGAGTAGGTTGATAGGATACGCAGACCTCGGAGTCGCAACTCGCTACTTCGGACTTGCGGCGTACTTTCCGGTGTTTTTGCAAATCGAAGAAGGCCGCCTAGAGGGTGCGGACCCTGAGTTGAGAACAGGGGTTGTGCGCCAAGCCCTCCTGCTCGGCTCCAGCGAGTAGACAAGTGTTACCATCAACAGAGGAGAAGGATATGACCTCAGGGCTGATGTGACCAAGCGCTGGTAGCGTGGTTTTACCTCACACCCATGGTCTCACAGTGTGCCGGCAGTCGCCGAGCAGTGTCGCTCACACAAGCCGCAGCACAAGTGACTGAGGGCCAGTGAGGGCGAGCCCATCGCTGTCACAGCTGTGGCAGCCGCACAGTAGGCTGTGCCAACTGTGCAGAGCGTATGAGCAGCAGAGGAGCTGCTCTCCAGGCTTCAGGCGCAAAGAGCTGCATGCCACCGAAAGCGCTGTCGAGGTTCGCCGAGCGCGGCGAAATCGGGGGACGCCGTCACCGACGAGCGCGTTGGAGTATTCACTCCGGACAAAGACGGGTAGACGCACACGAGCCGCGGTCGTCTACCCGTCATAGCGGCGAGGCGCGGGACCGTCTGTGGCGAAGTGGGTCGCGTCCCCCGATTTCCTCAACTCAGGGTCCGCTCCCCGTAACACAGACGACCTAGACGACGGGTGCCGAGAGAAGTGCCGGGCCGAGAGGCGCCGGCCGCCGCGGCGGGCGGACACGGCTCACGGGACAGTCGGGGAGTCGCCGCGCGGCCGATTCGAGATTTTCAATTTATTTCGGGAATTGTTGCGTCCCCTCACCGCTATATGCCGAACATCAAGCACGCCCACCGCAATCATCACATCGGAGCTGCTACAGCCGAGATCGCGCGAGATCGAGATCGCGAGATCGCGGCAGCGCCTCTCTGCTGCAGCCTCAGCCTCTCGCTCTCCGCTCTCGCTACGGCTAGATTGCTCGGCCGAATGGGTAGCCGAGATTAGCCAAAAAAACCGCGGAGGCGTGCAGCAGTCTCGGAAGGCATCTTCCAGCCCAAAGAAATCCTGCGGCCGCATGCGGACAACACGGGCGGCGCCTTCCTGTCGCGAGCGTCGCAGCCGATGGAGGTGAGAGCGGCGGCGGCGGCGGCGTCAGCGAGATCTCTGGATGCTGCGGACGACGACGCGCCGTCTGCAGCGCCGCGCAATATTGCAGCCATCCGCCCGGCGGCGCGGCACCCGCCTGGCCCGCCGGCGACGGCCTCGTAGAGCTGCTCGTCGACGCGGAAAAACCGGCGGACGGAGGCCCACGGCACGGAGCGCTTAAACTCCTCGAGGCGGTCCCAGCCGTAGCGTGCGTCGCCTGCGCGCAGCGGCTCGAGCTCGGTGCGGTTGAGCATCGGTCCGATCGCGCGAAGCAGCCGATCGTGCGAGTCCAGCGTGCACACCGCCCAGTGGCGCGAGGCCTCCGTGATGCCGTGGATCATCCGCCGCTGCCGGCTGGGCTCGCTAAAGTAGTACGTGACGGGCGTGGTGGCCGCCTTGTCGAACGAGTGGTGCAACTGACGAAACCAGCCGGCGCGGAGTAACGTGCTCACCGTCGCGGTGGGCGAGCAGCCGGCCGATCGCGCGCCCGCGCCGCTGCAGTACTGGGAGACGGCCGAGTAAAACCACGCCGATGGCTCCCGCACGCTTGCGACGAAGGCGGTGCAGTCCAGGCTTCGGCGCCATTCCGGGCTCCGCTCGGGTAGCCGCCGCAGATTGTGAACGTGCATCTCGGCGACGACGACGCGGCTTTTCTCGAGGCAGGCGCCGCCCTCGCCGAAGCACATGCAAGGCGGCTGCGAGAGGCCGCGCAGGATTTCTCGCTCCCTAGGGCCCGTGGTGCCGATGTTGCAAGTGGGCACCTGCGCACGAGAGAAGGTCGCAAAGGCCGACACGCCGCCCGCCTTCGGCACGTGCACGTAGACGATGCGCGGCGCGCACAAGCCGCGATCAGCTGTCGTCGCCACATACATGAACATGAGCCTGTCGGAGTCCGTACCCCTCCCCCCGTACCCCTCCCCCACCTTGGGCCGCCGATCGAAAGGTCTGATCTCCAAAATGAGCTCTCGGCCTGCCGCGCGCGGCGCCCCGCCCCTTTTGCGCAGCTTATATAAACTTCATGGCCCTCCAAATTCGGGTCGGAGCGTAGCGGAGTGGGCCCCGACCGAGTTTGAAAAAGGCGACGGACGCTTGCGTCCTATTGCAATAGCCTCCAACAACGCCTCCCCGGCCAGAGGGGCCCCCGGAGGGATGCTCAACCGCCCCACGCCACGCCGCTTGCGGCGGTCCTATTCCCAGCTAAGCTAAGGGGCCACTTCTGATTTTTTGTGTGAACTCGACCCCTCCCTCCTCGTCAGCAGGTCACGGTCAACCGCACCTCCGCGCCTCCTGACCGCGCCGCTGTAGCCGCAGCCACTCCCATCGGTGTGAACATTCCTACACCGAGCAGCAGGGAGCAACTCGAGATCCCTCGAGAGTTCACGCGGAGTCGGCTGGGGCTATGACCAGACAGACCGCGCCTAAACCTCGTGAACGCCGCGCCGCCGCGTTTCTGTTGCGTCATTTGCGCCGCGCCATATGGCCGGGGAACCGCTGCTGCCGCGAGAGGACGTGATCGCGTACGCCGCATCCAAGCGTAAAAATGAGGACGCGCCCTTCACGGCGACCACCACCATCACCCCCTCCTCCTCGTCGGGCGACGCCAAGGCGGGCGGGTACAAGCAGCTGCTAGAGGAGGGCGAGGAGCCGCCTGCGGCGGCGCGGGGTGGCGTGTGGGGCGCCTTTGACGCGGCGCGGCAGTGGGTCGGCGACGTGGTTGGCAGCGCGTACGAGTATGTCAATAAGCGGTGCGGCATCGAGACAAAGATCCGGCAGGCGCGCAGCTGTGCGCGCATATCGATTCGCAAATGCGTGCCGGCGCCGATCCAGAAGCGACTCCCCTGCTTTGGGTGGATCGACGAGGCGCTCAAGCCAGGCCCCATGTACGACGACGAACCCAAAACGCTCGAAGGCGCGAGCAAGGCCGCGCGAAATACACATGCGGCGAGAAGCAAGATGAGAGACCCCCCCCCCCCCTAGCAGCAGGGACGGGCTTAGTTAGAAGTGCAGGGGGGGTAGCGAAGCGAGCAGTGTGTGCGGCCGCTCTTGTTGTTCCGCCGGCCTAACGTTAGCTACTGTTGTTTGGGGAGCTTCACTGTTGTCGTCTGTTGTTACTCTTAACACTAGCAACACTGTTTTCAGCTCCCAACACGTTAAACAGCTCTAGCTGTGAGAGGGGCGCGTGAGGGGACGGATTGAAGATCCCTCGGCACACCAAGAAGTAAGATCGTGCAGGGCGGGGACACGTGTCCCTAAAAGTAAAGCTAAATCCCATCTCGTCTCAGAGTTTGACCGTTTTATTTATGTATTATGTGAGGTGGGTAAAAAGGAACCTGTCCCTAAATCCCATCTCGTCTCAGAGTTTGACCTTTCATTTATTTATTTCTCCTATGCCACGTGGCTGTGTGTGTGTGTTTGGGTTTCTATGTTTGCGATTGGATTTTGGATTTTCAGCTCTTTGTTTATTTATGTACAGGCACCGTGGTCAGAGAGGTGTGGCCCACTCGCTTGCTTTTTTCGCCGCTCTTCAGCCCTCCCGCCTCTGGCCTTACTAACTAGTACGAGACCGGAGGGCTACGTCCTACGAAGCTTTCACCTGGCCTTCACACTCCAAAACTCCAAGGGGCTGGGTGTGGCCACAAAATAGCTCAAGAGGCTTGTGAGCTGCGTGTGTGTGAGCTGTGAGACAGCATTGTCCTAGATTTCTGGGCGAGGGTGGTGGAGGCTTATCATCAAAGTAAGTGTGCCTCTCACAAGCACTGGACTGGGCAACTAAATGTCCAAGGGTCAACAGTGTACGACGAACGGTAGTTCCCGACCGTCAAAAGCATTGGTCGTCGTTACCGAGGGGCGTGCAATCTCCGACGTTGGCGCACGTCCAGGAAAGGACGTCCGGGTGGTCGAGACGGCGGGCGTTTCGGGGGCGCGAAAGCGCCGGGTTTCCTGGATGTTCAGTGCCCGCTTTCCCGAAGGGCCCGCCTCGCACGCCCTTCGGCATGTACACGCACCCCGCCAGCGGCGGCGGCTCCTCCTCGGAGCTAAATGGCAGCCAGCCAACGCCCCCGCCTGGCCGCTGGTCGTCTCGCTCCTCCCGGATCTCCGCGTTGGCCCTCACCCAGCACCTGTCAGACGAGCGGCAGTTCATTATGTCCGAGATGGCGCATCTAGTGGGCTGGTCGGGGCCTCTCGAGGAGACGCAGGCGCGGAAACTCCGCTCGCTGGACGACATGGTGACAGCGTACTACAGCCGCCGTGCCGCCTCCGCCAACGCGTCCCCGGGCCGGCAACGCGACAGCTCTCCGACCCCGCTTCCACATGACGCGCCTTCTCCTGGACCGGAAGGCAACCCGGCGTCCACGGATGAGAAGGGCGGTCTGCAGCGTGTTCCATCGGCAGCGCGGGCCGTGAATGAACTCGACGACCACACCGTCTTCCAGATGATTGTCGAAATCATGGACGAGCGGGATGTGGTGCGCAACAGGAGCAGCAGCTCGTCCCACCATGGCGATGCCGACTCGATGGGAGGGCCTCCCGGCATGGTCACCGACGAGTCGTGGGATGCATCACCGTCTGAAGAGGAGACAGTGGAGCCATGCGACAAGCGCCGACGCTCCGGGCCGGCAGTGGGGCTCACCGCCGCCGAGATGGCACCGGCACCAATGGGCCCCATTGCGGGCGACCCTTACCCGAGCGCAATGGCGGGAGAGCCTTACTACTACGCCGCCGCGCCGCCGGGCGGAGAGGTTGCTCCGTACGCGGTGTACGCTGGCGAGGGAGTGCCGTACTGCATGCCGCCGAGACCGCCTATGCCGCCGCCCGCGCCCGCACCGCCGGTTTCGGTCGAAGCTCTGCAGCCTGGCGGCGAGGGCGTGATACGCAGCAGGCCGCTGGCCGTAGAGAAGATGGGCGGCCCGGTGCCGGTGCCGGTCCCGTGGGCACCAATTTGACTCCCGCACCCGTCCTCGTGCTCGCCACAGGAAGCAGCGGGAGCGCCTCTTGCACCAGCACCAGCGCATAATGCAGCAGCGCCGGATGGCAGAGGCTGCGGCAAGGGCGCTGGTCCCCGCCAGCGAGAACGAGATGTTCACAGAGCCACCTATGCTCACCCCTCCGCCAAATGGGACCGGGCGCCAGCGGTACAAGTGCAAACGGTGGCCTGGCCCCACCCGCGGCGACTTCCGCCACTACCGCCCTGTGACTCGCCCATCGACGCTCACAATCAGGTGCGGCGCGCCGAAAAAGGGGCACAAGTGCACCGCGGTCGAGTTCGACTTCCAAACGGGACAGCCATTGCTTCCGAAGAAGGTGTGCGAGCTTCCGACCTGCCCGCTCACCACCACTTGCCTTTGACGATGCGCACCCGCGCCGAATCGACAGGACTGGAGCAGGGAGGAGGATGAGCTGATTGTGCGCGAGGTGGTGTCGAATGGTGGCCGTTGGCGCAACATCGCCAAGCAGCTGTCGGGCCGAACCGACGACGCCGTGCGCAATCGATGGAATCGCCTCAACTCGCTCATGGGCGGCGGTGGGCGCGCCTCCAAAGAGGAGAAACCTCAAGGATGGGGGGTGCACGCTGATGATCCTGGTAGCAGAAACACCCAAGGCCAAGCCAGCGAGGTCGTCGTCGAGCAAGGCGAAGGCCGTCGTGAGAAGCGTCAAGCGTGTGAAGCATGAGAGCAAGTCTGGTTTACTTAGAACTTAGCGTGTGCGAACCGACCGGTACTAGCATACTAGCGCTTGCTGGCAGGGGGGCCGCTCGCCGCGCTGCGCCTCTCTGGCGCCCATACGGCTTCACTGCCGCCCCCCCGCCCCGCGCCCCGCGCCATCCCCACATGGCCATCCCGCAGAACAACTCAAACGATCCGTGTGCAACCCCGAACCCGCCCCAAAGACGCTACCTGTACTCTGTACTCGAGAGAGGCAACTTACCCGCCTCCCCGCCCCTGGGAGAGAGGCGCCGGGTGGGTTGGAGTCGGCGCTGCCCGCTGCCGGCGCAAACTCCGCCGCAGCAGCCGCCACCCTCAGCCGTCGAACTCGAGTTCGCACACGACTACGTACTTCATCTGGATCTGCGAGACGTCGTAGACAATGTACTCGTTGTAGAGGAGAGCCGCCCGCGCCTTGCCGCCCTCCGCCTTTTGCAGCCGCGCGAAGTTGGCCTTCATGTACTCGGAGTCGCCCGCCTCGCCCATCGGCACGCGGATCGCGCCGCCCTCGATCGAGCTCGCGCCCCCGTCGGCGGGCGCGAACTTGCCCACGCCCCAAGTCGACGCCTTGCCCGCCTTCTTGCAGCTCTCCGCCGCCTCGTACTCTGCGTTGAGCCGCTCGTACTGCGAGCCGAGAGCGACGTCGCAGAGCAGCAGGACGGCGGTCGGGTTGGCGGAAGTGGCGCCGCAGTAGTTTGCCGACTTGGAGCTCATGTCTGCGAAGTAGACGCCCTTGCCAAACATGTAGCCCGTGACGGGCGCCTCGGGCGGCGCGATGCGCAGCCCCTGCGAGAGGATGCCCGCCCAGTTGGTCAGGCGCGAGCCGTGCCACAGCAGCTGCCGGTTGGCGAGCGACGCCTTGAAGCCCGGCTGCTCGGCCGCGCGCGAGACGGCGAGCACGTCCTTGACGTTGATCTTGTACGTGTCGTGCGTCGAGCCGTGCGTGTTGGCCGCGTACCGCCGGACCATCTCGTGCTCCGCCTCCGACGCCGGCGCGAGCCCGCACTGGAGTTGCGCGTACATAGCGTCGAGCGGGTGCTGCTCGGCGGCCGGGCCGAGGCTCTTCGAGAGCTTCTGCGACTCTTGCACCTGCAGCAGCGCCTCGACCATGTCGAGCTTGTCCTGTTCACAGTCACGCGCGTGTGAAGAGACGCTGTGCGCAGCGGCCCTCCCGCATGTCGAGCCCATCCTTGAGCATCGGCAGCGAGTCGATGACGGGCGGCACCTGCGGCAGAGGGCGAGGGCGAGGCTGGAGGGGGGGCGAGGCTGAGGGGCGAGGGCGAGGGCCAAGGAGTCCGCCCTTCTGGTGGCTCCGTCGGCCTCCGGGGGGGGGGGAGAGTTGCTCCGGGAGAGCGGCGGGAGGGCGCCTCGTCGAGGCCGAACTTGTGCGGGATCGTCGTGTAGAAGTGCGTCGTCAGCGTGAGCAGCCGGTGCTTCTGCTCGTCGCCGTCTGCCGCCGGCGTCTGCAGCTGCGTCGCGACGCGCGTGAGCGCCTCGTAGCCGCGCTTGATCTGCGCCGTCGAGATGGAGCCGAGAGGCATCTTTTCGAGGTCGACGTGCATCTCCTGTAGCTGCGCAGCCATCATCTTCTTGTCGCCGATCAGAGACACGAACCGCGCTACCGGCGGCGGCAGCGACGAGCCCATCGCGGAGCCGCTGGCCGACTTGCCGCCGCCGCCCGCCGCCGCCTCGCCCGTCGCCTCGTCGGAGAGCTGGCCCGGCAGCAGCGTGACCGCGTACCCGCTAGGGTGCTGCACCGGCGGCTCGCACCACTCAAAGTCGCACTTGGCGAGCTTCTTGAACTGTTCGCGAAACTCCTTCTTGGCGCCTGCGCGTGGGAGGGGACAGACGGGTCGCCGACGGTGCCCGATCTGCCCTATCCCGGCCCTATCCCGGTCCTATCCCGGTCCTATCCCGGTCCTATCCCGGCCCTGTCTCGGCGGCATCTCGGCGGCATCTCGGCGGCATCTCGCCGTCGAGGTCGACGCCGTGCTCGTGGACGACGTCCGAGTTGAGGTAGCCTGGCACCGACTTGCTCTTGCCTCCGCCTGACTTGCCGCCCGCGCCGCCGCCGCCGACGCGGCCCCACGCGCGGTAGACGCAATACGAGGAGCCCGTCTGCAGCAGCTGCATCTTGTAGTACTTGTTTGTGCCGTCGGCGAGGTCGACCGCGTTGAGGACCGAATGCCACGCCTGCCGCCGTTGCGGAGGGGGAGGGGTGGGAGGGAGGGCGCGGGCGGCGGCGGCGGCGGCGGCGGCGGCGGCGGCGGCGGCGGCAGCTGGTTGGCGGGCGGCGTCCTCGGGGCCGACGTCGACGAGGACGACGACGTCGACGTCGACGACGAGATGCCGACGTGATGCCGAGGTGATGCCGCCGAGGGGGCGCCGGAGGAGAGCCGGAAGAGGGCCGGCAGAGCGCCGGAATATCGGCGGCAGCGGGATGATCGTGCGCCG